TGTCCCTGTCTGGTCAAATTAAAATAAATAAATAAAGTTGAATAAAATAATTCTAAAAAAAAAAAAAAATAGGAAAAGTTAAATGACTGCCTATTTCCTGGAGTAAGTAATCGAAACATGCTTTTTAGGCCCATTTCAGAATTTATCCAGTTGTTAACTGAGCACTTAACAAGTGTTGTACTAAAGTGAGGTTAGAAATCTTGAGGGGAAATGAAATTGAAAAAAATTGAAAAAGAGGGAACCAGCAGTTAGCGTAATGGCTATGTCGCTGGATTCCTACGTAGTCGACCGCGGTTCGTGTCCCGGACCCGGTGGCTTAAAAAACTCACGCCGGGCGCGTGTGCGTGCGTGCCCAAGATCCCGAGAGAAGAATGGAGGAGAAGGGATTGCGGCGTGACCATCCCCCCTGGGGGGTGATTTCTCGCTTTCTGTCTCTATGTCTCTCTCTGTCTGTCTGGCGAGCGCACGCGCCCTACAGTGAAAATCTCTCAAAAAAAAAAATTGAAAAAGAAGAAATCCTGGAGGATACACTTTTTAAAAAGTTTTTGTTACAGAATATGTGTGATTGCCAGAGAGAGAGAAAGTGAGGAAGCCTCCCACAGGGGGGTGGCCATGCTGCGGTACCTTCTTGTCCAGTCTCTCCTTGGGATGTTTTGGACACACACTCACAAGCCACAGAATCGGTGACTCAAACTGCACAGTCAGCCATGTGGGATCCAGTTGCCTTAACCTCCACGGGGAATAGCATTTTGTACGAACAGGAGATATTGGCGCTCTGGAATGGCCAGGTCCTTATGGATGGATAGAAATGGAAAGAGTAAGTATTGTGGAAAACCTATCATCCAAAACGTGCCTACGCTCACTTCAGAAGCACTTCGGAAAAACTGTGCCAGCTCCACCATGAGTAGAGTACATAGTTTGTATCCTTACAGATTAGCTAATGTTATGTCACATATTGAGAGACCATTTTCCTCCTCTTTTTTAAGAGAGGTTTTGCTATAGGGCACATGAGCTCGCCAGAAAGAGAGAGACAGAGAGACAGAAAGTGAGAAATCACCCCCTGAAGGGATGACCACACTGCAATCCCCTCTCCTCCATTCTTTTTTTTTTTTTTTTTAAAGGTTTTTGCTAAGGGCTCATGTACCTATCTCCATTGGGGCGGGAAGGGATGCGCTCACCAGACAGAGAGAGACAGAGAGACAGAAAGCGAGAAATCACCCCCTGAAGGGATGGCCACACTGCAATCCCCTCTTCTCCATTTTTCTCTCAGGATCTTGGGCACACACGCACACGCACCTGGGGTGAGTTTTAAGCCACTGGGTCTGGGACTTGAACTACAGTTGACTACGTAGGAGTATAGTGATGTAACCATTACACCATCTACTGGTTCTGCATTCTCCTCCTCTTACATAGCCAAAAACTGTGAAGGTTGACCAGAGCCAGTAAGTATGCAAGGAAAGGCACCCACATTCCCTGGGTGCGCACACACACACACACACACACACACACACACACACACCACACAACCCAACAGTGCTTCTTTAGTAAATCCAATGATACAGTGGCGGGGCGTACAAGAGTTTATGTAGCATCATGCAGATTGTGTTATGATTTGTAACAGTGAAAAACTGGAGACGACCTAAATATTTTTCACTAGTAAAAAGTAAAATAATTGCATAAATGTAGTCCCCCATGTTATCCATGGTTTTGCTTTCTACGGTTTCAGTTATCCACGATCAACCATGGCCTGAAATAGTAAATGAAAAATTTTAGAAATAAATAACTCGTAAGTTTTAAAGTGTGTCCTGTTCTGTGGAGCATGATGATAGCTCGTGCCGTCTGACTCAGTCCTGCCCAGGATATGAATCATCTCTTTGTCCCATGGGTTCCCCTGTCGATGGTGTCTCTTTGTCAGGTACAAGCCCTCTGGTATCAGACTGAAAAAAACATAGTAAATATAGTGTTTGGTACTATCTGGTTTCAGGCATCCACTGGGGGTCTTGGAATGTATCCCCCACAGGTAAGGGGGAAACATCTATGTCCAAAAGTCATTAAAATGAAGTGCAGTTGTTAGAAACAATCAGGTAAATATAAATGTGTAAAAATAGAAGAAAACCCATAAAATAGAGTTTAGTTAAAAAACTAAATGGAGCCAGCAGGTGGCTTGGTGGCTAAGGCAGCTGGACTCCCACATGGCTGATCATGGTTTGAATCCTAGACCTGACAACTTACTTTCTCACTTTCCTTCTCTCTCTGGTCAACTTCAAATTAATTAATTAATTAACGACAATGAATAAAATTAAATAAAATAATTCTTAAAAAAAAAAAAAACTAAATAGAGCCAGCCCCACAAGCCTATGGTTAAGGGAGCTGAATCTCACATGGCCAGTGACACTTTATATCCCAGTGGCTTGAAAGATGTCAGGTGCGTGTGCATACATGCCCCAGATTTTGACAGGATGAAGAAATGGAGAACAGATTATGGTATGATCCCTCTCTCTTGTCTCTCTCTCTGCTGAATGCATGCACCCCCTAGTAATTAACAATAAAAATACGGGGCTATGGGGCTAGCAGGTGGCATGGTGGTTAAAGCGCTAGATTCCCACATAGCCAACCACGGTTTGAGTCTCAGATCTGGTGGCTTGAAAATCATGCTTGACGTGTGTGTGTGTGTATACCCGGGATTTCAAGAGGAGAACGAAGGAGAGGGGATTATGGTGTAGTTATCCCTCCCGCCCGAAAGGGTGCTTTTTCACTTTCCCTCTTTTTCTCTCTCTCTCTCGCTCTGTCTCCAATGAGCACTCGTGTCCAATAACAACAAAAACAAACAGATAAAAACTTAAAAAAAAAAAACACAGGGGTGACTCTTTGGCCTGGTGGTTAAAGCAGCCAGATCTCACATGGCCGATTGTGCAGTTCAAGTCTCAGACCCAGCAGTTTGAGAAATATGCTGGGAATGTGTGGGTGTGTGTCCAAAATCCTGAAAAGAGGGAGAATTGGAGGAGAAGGGATTGCAACGTGACTATTCCCCATTTGGGAGGGTTTTGTCTTCTCCACCTCTCTGTCTCTGTCTGGTGAGCACATATGCCCTCTAGCCAAAAAAAATTTTAAATTAAAAAATTACTGAGTGATGTATATCTCATGATCTTTCTGTTTTGTACAAATGTATATATGTGTACCAATTGCATGCACTCACAGATTACATTTTGTTGGAGTATATCTGAATGGATGCGTTCCAAATCCTCAGAGACTGGTGGGAATCCTATCCCAGAGGGGAAGAGCCCATCCATCTCTAGTCTGTATGTGCTTACAGTACAGTCGTACACCACATAGCCACCTTTCAGACAACAGCACATATGAAAGCATCCTGAAAGATTATATTGGAGCTGGGAATTCCTATTGCCCAGTGACATCGTAGTTGTTGGAACGTCATACTGTATTACACATATTTGTGGTGATGTCGTCGTGTAAGTAAACTTATTATGCTACCAGCCGTATAAAAGTATAGCACACACAGTTATGTATAGTACATAATACCTGATAAAGACAATAAACAACCATGTTATTTGTTTATGCATTTACTGTTCATTGTTATTTTAGAGTGTACCCTTTTTTGTAAAATGATATGTTTACTGTAAGGCATTATTTTTTTACACCAGAAACTGCCTCTTGGTTCCCTTGGCTTTTGCATCTCTCTATTGCATCATTTTCTTTTGTTCCTGATTTGTTCTTGTGTTTTTGTTTATTATGACCCATCCACTGGGGCAGGAGATAGAGGGGGGAAGGCAGTGATATTGGTGACATTGATCCTGTGTATGTCTAGGCTAATGTATGTGTGAGTTTGTGTCTTCATTTTTTTTTTTTTTATTTTTAAAGACAGATTTTTGGTGTAGGGCATGTGCGCTTGCCAGAAAGATAGAGAGACAGAAAGTGAGAAATCACCCTCCATGGGGGATGACCATGCCATAATCCCTTCTCCTCCATTCTCCTCTCAAGGATTTGGACACACACACACATGCACCCAGCTTGATTTTTCAAACCCTGGATCTGGGACTCAAACTTATTCAGCTATGTGGGAGTCCAGTGCCTTAACTATCATGCCACCTGCTGGATCCTAAAATACTTTTTTTTCCCTTAAAATTTGTCATAGAAACATAGGCTTGAGATGATAGCGTTTGAATCCTATCTCCCTTAACCTTAGCTTTTGATATTTGCCTTTATTCTCTTAGTTTATTTCCTCTTAGAGTTCACATAAATGAGCTACCAATTTTGTAAAGTCACTTCATGCACTTCTTTTTTTTTTTTTTAAAAAATTATTGTTATTTAGTTTTATTTATTTGTTCATTTTAATTTAACCAGAGAAAGACAGAGTGAGAGAGAGAGAGTTGAGAAAGCAAGCTGCCAGGTCCAGGACTCAAAGCACAGTTGGCCATGTGGGAATCCAGCACCTCTAACCACCATACCATCTGTCATCCCCACCTCATGCACTCCTAACAGCTGTTTTCCTATGATTAGTTCTTTACTTGGTTTCATATCAGCACTCTAGGGAGCAGGATTACATCTGAAGAAAGTCTAGGCCTCTTGCACCCAGTATGAGGGGACTTGCAATAGTTCTGAGAAAATGGAATTAAAGTACAAGTTTATTTTGGTGTAAAATATTGAAATCCATGTATAGTATTTTCATAATACATGGATTTTCATGAACTTTTTGAAAACCCCTTCATATGTACATGTATTTTTTTCTCCCATTCTCATTGTGGTATTTTTTAAAAAGTGAGATGAATTTAAATCATTTTTATCTTTGGGTGTCTTTCAGACGTGGGGAGTAAAGCAGAAACCAAAGAGTCAACCTTAAAGAATGACATTTCATGGGAAGAAGTGCACCATGGCCTGATGATGGAAAGGTCCACTAGAGGAAGCACCTTGTGTTCCACATTGGGAAGAGTCTCCAAATGTGATAAGTTAGAAAGGCAGCAGGAAAACCAAGGAATAGGTGAGGAGCAAGTCCCCCTGATCCACCAGAAAATGCTCTCTCAGGAGCAAGGCCCAGAATCTAACAGATTTGAGAAAATAATTAACATGAGCTCAAGAGTAATGCCAGGACCAGTAGGTCTTCCAAGAATAAGAGACCATAAATATGATACATCTGGAAAAAGAAGTAGATACAATTTAGAGTTGATTAATCATTCAAGGAGTTACACAAAAATGAAAACCTTTGAATGTAATATTTGTGAGAAAATCTTCAAACAGCTCATTCACCTTACTGAACACATGAGAATTCATACTGGAGAGAAACCATTCAGGTGTAAGGAATGTGGAAAAGCCTTTAGCCAAAGTTCATCCCTTATTCCACATCAGAGAATCCATACTGGTGAGAAGCCCTATGAATGTAAAGAATGTGGGAAAACCTTCAGGCATCTTTCATCCCTTACTCAACATGTCAGAATTCATACTGGAGAGAAGCCCTACGAATGTGGAGTGTGTGAGAAAGCCTTCAGCCAGAGCATTGGACTAATCCAGCATCTGAGGACTCATGTTAGAGAGAAACCTTTTACATGCAAAGACTGTGGAAAGGCATTTTTCCAGATTAGACATCTCAGGCAACATGAGATTATTCATACTGGGGTGAAACCCTATATTTGTAATGTATGCAATAAAACCTTTAGCCATAACACATACCTAACTCAACACCAGAGAACTCATACTGGAGAAAGACCATATAAGTGTAAGGAATGTGGAAAAGCCTTTAGTCAGAGAATACATCTTTCTATTCACCAGAGAGTCCATACTGGAGTGAAACCTTATGAATGCAGTCATTGTGGGAAAGCCTTCAGGCATGACTCATCCTTTGCTAAACATCAGAGAATTCATACTGGAGAAAAACCTTATGATTGTAATGAATGTGGAAAAGCCTTCAGCTGTAGTTCATCACTTATCAGACACTGCAAAACACATTTAAGAAATACCTTCAGCAGTGACATGTGAAATATAATCAACATCAGAGGATCTGTATTGGAGCAAAAACCTCTAAATTAGTGGCTTCTTGACTATTAGATTTCAAAAACCAATAGTATTTTTTTAATGGTTTGATAAGTGTTACCAACTATTAGTAATGCCACATTAAAAATCAATCACCTTTTATCAGTAGGAAGGCTAGAATAATTATAATGAACTTGAATATTGAATTAAATCAGCTTTAAATCTCCCAAATTTGTCTAAACTTTTATTTATCTATGGGTCAGTGAAAATTTTATGACAGGTTAATGATTTGTGGATTGACTTTTGAGAATCATCTTTAAATATCTCATTAGTGAGTCAGAATAAAATATAGTACAACTTTTTACTACAGCTCTTCTGAGTCAGAAGTATAAATAATAATGTTGGTTGGATCATTTCTAGGGAAAGTGTTACAGGAAGTTGTCTAGAATTGATAAAATAACCTACTATACATGAGATACTTACATTATAAGATTTTCTATAGAACAACAATTGATAAACATTTTTTTTGTAAGGGACCAGATAGTAAATGTGTTAGGTTTTGAAGTCCATAGTCTCTGTCAAGGTACTCGACCTGCCTTTTTAGTGTAAGAGCGGCCAGAGATAACATGTAAACCAGGATATCTGCAGCTTGACACTACCGATATTTTGGATGGGGTAACACTTTGCTATGGGCAGCTGTCCTGTACATTACAGAATGTTTACTGGCATTTCTGGCCTCTTCCCTCAAGATGCCAGTAGCCCCTAATTGTGACAACCAAAAATGTCTCCAGAGATTGCCAGATGTTCCCTGGAAGACAAAATTGTCCCTGGTTGAAAACGATTAACAAATAGATTTTATCATGTTCTGATACATTTCACTTAAAAGAACAGATGTTGGGTTGTACTCAGCCCATATAATGATTAGTAATGGCAACAGACTAAAGTCAAATTAGTATGTTTGTGTGTATGTCATAAGTATTTTCTTGGCAATTACTTTAGTATTTTGTTGTAGTAATGTGTTATGGTGGGGATACACGAGAGAGAAAGCACCCTACAATGAGTCTAATCACGTCACAACTTTTTTTCTCCCAGCTATCCATTCCATCAGGATCCTAGGCACATGCACGTGCCCACCCCATGTAGAGCCAGTGGGGCTGGAATTCGAATACTAGTCAGCAATGTGGGATCAGTTTCCTCTGTAACACACCTTACTGCTGCACAGTGGATCTGGCACTTAAAATTTTTAAAAAAAATTTCCTATAGGGCATGTGTGCTCACTGGAGAGACAGAAAGAGAGGGAAATCAAGAAAAACCAGCCATCAGGTGACGGCCATGGCACAGTTCCTTCTCCATTCTCCTGTCAGGATTTGGGCATGAAAGCACATGCACCCAGTGTGTTTTCAAGTGGATGGGTCCAAGACTCAAACCTCACAGCTGGCCACGTGGGATCCAGCCACCTTAACCACTTTGCTACCGGCTGTCCCAGAATTTTTTAAGTCATATTTTTAATGCTATCTTGGAGCCTAGAGATTATTTTGGAGATATTAAGACTTCAGTCTATAATGATGGGGGTTTTGTTCATCCATAAGTATGTTGGGATGTATCCCTAAAAGAAGAGCACTCTTTTAAAAGATAACCCCAATTCCATTATTACACCTTAGAAAGTGAACCATAATTCTTTAATACATATTGATTCCTTTTGAATATAGATACATTAAGATTGGTGGCTACCATTTTTAAAAAACTTTTTCTTTGCCAAACATAGAGTATTAAATGTAAAAATATTCTTTCTGCTGAGTGGAAGTCTTTAACATAGTCCCAAGAAGGGACTCACCAAGAAGGACCAGGGAAAGGTGACTTTAGGAGCCGTATTTAAACAGTGAAGAGAGAGGTCAAGTTTAGCGTCTTACTGTTTTATTTGAAGATAGAACAGTTCAGTTGCCTGCGTGTTGCAAGTGTGAACTATCCAAGTAAAAGTTGTAAAAGTTGTAAATAGGCAATGTATAACAGCATCTGTTTGTTGGTTTGGTTGGTTGGTTGGTTGCTTTTTTTTTTAGCTGGCCTTTAATGCTTTTTTTTAAATAGAGATTTTTATTATAGGGCGTATGTAAATGCCACAAAGACAAAAAGTGAGAAATCACCCCCCAGGGGGGATGGCCATGCTTCAATCCCTTCTCCATTCTCCTCTTAGGATCTTGGGCATGCACACACATGTGCCCAGCCCGAGTTTTAAGCCTGTAGGTCCAAGACTTGAACCACAGTAGATTACACAGGAGTCCAGCAAGGTAACCATTACATCATCCACTGGTCCCTGGCCTCTAACTCTTAAGTCTATATGACTGATAGAAGGGATGGGGATACATCGTTCCTTACATTTATTCTACCATATTTCTGTGGTCCTCAGTGTCCCAAGAATTTGGGTTTCTCTTGTTGCTTCTTGCAGTGAAAACCATGATCTCATACAGTTTTAGAGCTTAAAATTTATCTCTATTTAACAACTGCCATGTTTCCATCTTCAGTCCATACTTCTCTCCTGAATTCCAACCCACTTTCTGCCTGTGGGGCATTGCACTAGTTATTCCAGTAGTCTACACTCTTACCTTCTCATCTTTGCTCAAATGTCTTCTCACTAGAGATTGTCCCGATCATGCCATGTAATATAGCAGCCTGTCCTTTGCCCTCTAACTCTAGCATTCCCAAACCCCTTTCCATATCACATACCACTGTTTGTTTTTAAAATATTTTTTGCCAGAGGGCAAGTGCATTGGACAGATATGAAGAGAGGGAGAAAGCACCCTCCACAGGGTGTGGCGATATCACAATCTCCTCTTCATTTCTCCATCCTGTTGCTATTTTGGGCATTCATGCATGTGTACCTAGTGTGTTTTTCAAACCACTGGGTCTGGGACTCAATCTGTGCAGTTAGCCATGTAGGATCCAGCAGCTTTAACCATTAGCTATTGCCTGGCCCACAAAATAAGCATTTTAAAATTTCAGTCTTCAGGACCAGCATAAAGTATAGTGGTTACATCACTGGGCTCCCATGTAGTCAATAGCTGTTCAAATCCCACACCTGGCAGCTTAAAACTCATGCCAGATGTGTGTGTGTCTGTGCGTGCGCGCGTGTGCCCAAAATCCCAAGGGGAAAATGGAGAAAGAATTGCAGTGTGACCAGCCCCGTGTAGGTGATTTCTTGCTTTCTGTCTCTCTCTGTCTCTGGCGAGTGCATTTGCCCTATAGCAAAAATATCTCTCAAAAAAAGTTTTCAGTCTTCATGAATCAAAAATTCAAAAGCTGCTTAGATGGGAGGTTCTGTGTAGGATACAGATAAAATGGTGCAGTCATCTGAAGGTTTGACTGGTTTGACTTGAGCTAGAGGATATGTTTCTAAGATCGCTCACTACATGACTGGCAATTTGACGCTGGCTACTCAGCTGACTTTCTCCAGAACAAGCAGAGTGTGCAAAGCAGAAATGCCAATGTCATTTGTGACTTATCTTTGGAAATGATACATCATTGCTTTCACCAGACTATTCTTTAGGAATAAGTCTGCCTCTCATTCAAGAGGAGTCTCCACCTACTGGAGGAGAGTAGCATATTTTAAACAACTAGAGTCACTTTTAACATTTTTTCTTCATCTTCAGCATTTTGCAGTTAAACTATTATGTGTCTAGATGTAGATTTTTTTTTAAATTTATCTTCTTAGAGCTTATTATTTGGCTTCTATCTGTTATCTGGCTGCTTCCATAGGTATAGAGAAATATTCAGCCATTATCTCCACAGATACTATCCCTGCCTCATCTTCTCTACTCTTTGTTGTTATTTATAATAGAATTGTTTTATTTAACTTTACTTATTTATTTAATTTGGCCAGAGAGGGACAGAGGGAGAGAGAGAGGGAAAGTGAGAAAGCAAGTTGCCAAGTCTGGGACTCAAACTATGGTCAGCTATGTGGGAATCCAATGCCCCCAACCAACTGCTGGCCCCGGATTCTCCTAGACTTGTGTCAAATCTTCTGTCAGAGTGTATGTGAGCTCACCAAAGAGAGATAGAGAGATACAGAGAAAGGGAGAGAGAGAGAAAAGTACTCCCTAGTGGGGCATAGTCATGCCACAATCCTTTCTCCATTTTTCCATCCTGCTGGGATTTAGGTATACATGTCCATTTGTCTGGAGTGTTTTTCATGCTTCCAGGACCAGGATTCAAACCATGGTTAGTGATGTAGGACTGCATTCCTTAACCACCAGGTCGTGGGCCTAGCCTCCCCAAAATTTTATTTATTCATTTCTTCTAAAAGAAAGACAGTACTCCCAAGAGTCTTTTTTTTTTTTTTTTTTTTTGAGAGAGAGATATTTTTGCTGTAGGGTGCATGTGCTTGCCAGAGAGACAGACAAAGCGAGAAATCAACCCCCTAGGGGTATGGTCATACTATAATCTCTTTTCCTCCAGTTTCCTCTCAGGATTTTGGGCATGCACATGCACATGCCTGGCATGAATTTCAAGCTGCCAGGTCCAGACTTTGAACCATGGTCGACCATGTGGGAGTCCAGTGATGTAACCATTATACCATCTGCTGGTCCCTCTAGGGTTCTTTAAAAAACAAATCTGCCAGGACCAGCAGGTGGCCTAGTGGTTAAGATGCTGGATCTCCTACTTGGCCAACTACAATTTGAATATCAGACCTGGCGGTTTGAGACTCATGTTGTGTGTGTGTGTGTGTGTGTGTGTGTGTGCGCGTGCATACCCAAGAGGAGAATGGAGAAGAAGGGATTGGAATATGGCCATCCCCCTGGGGGAAGGTGATTTATCACTTTCCCTGTCTCTCTCCAGTGAGAGCACGCTCCCTATGGCAAAAACCCTAAAAAAATTGCCAGAGGGCATGTGTGCTTGCTAGTGAAAGAGAGAGAGAAAATGAGAAGGCAACCCCCCTATGGGGGAAGGCTGTGCTGCAATCCTCATTTCTTCTTCCTTTTGGGACTTTGGGCACACCCACATATATACACACAGCATGTTTCTCAAGCCACTGGATCTGAGACTTGTACCACGTGATTGGCCATGTGGGATCCATTTGCTTTAAGCACCACACACTACCTGGCTTTTATTTTTTTAATGGGCATATGTGTTCCTGGTGTAGTCAGGAAGGTCTCCAGACATAAATCCAGAACTTTCTCATATGGAACAGCCTCACAGAGGATTGCATTTTACCATTGCATCACTATCTATCCTCTTTTGATTTCTTTCTTTTTTTAGAGAGATGTTTGCTATAGGGCATGTGCACTTGCTGGAAAGACAGAGTCAGAGAGACAGGAAGCAACAAATCACTCCCACAGGGGGGATGGCCATGCTACAATCCCTTCTCCTCTATTCTCCTTCTGGGATTTTGGGCATGCACACACTTATGCCTAGCATGAGTTTTAAGCTGCTGGGTTCAGGATACAGACCTTACTCAACTACATGGAAGTCCAGCAACATAACCATTACACTATCTGTGGGTCCCTCTTTTGATTTCTTCATGTTTCATTTTGGGAACTTTCTTCTGCCCTCACTTCCTTTATGCTTATCTCTTTTTAGCTATGTCTAATTTGTTGTTACACCCATTCATTGAGTTCTTAATTTTGTTACTGTATTTCTCAGTCATAAAATTTGTTTGTTTAGGGACCAGCAGTTAGTGTAATGGCTATGTCACTGGACTCCCATGTAGTCGACCACGGTTCAAGTCCCGGACCCGGCAGCTTAAACTCACGCCGGGCACGTGTGCATGCGTGCCCAGGATCCTGAGAGGAGAAGGGAGGAGAAGGGATTGTGGCATGTCCATCCCCCCTGGGGAGTGATTTCTCGCTTTCTATCTCTCTGTCTCTCTCTCTCTCTGGCGAGCGCATGCGCCCTGTAGCAAAAAAAAAAAAAAAAAAAAAAAAAAAACCTCTCAAAAAAAAAGAATTTTTTTGTTTAGTTTTTACATCTGCTCTATCACTTTTTTTTTTTTGAGAGGTTTTTGGTATAGTGCGTGTGCACTTGAAAAAAGATTATTTTATAGTTTGCAACTGATAATTCCTAAAAAAGCTGTCTTTGTAGAGCTATTTCTGCTGTTTATGTGTTCTGGTTCACACTAAGTCTAGTCTGTGTACCTGGTTATCTTAAATTCTGTACTTGATATTGTCTTTTTTTTTTTTTTTTGAGATGTTTTGTTATAGGGTGCTTATGTTCGCTAGAAACAGTAAGTGAGAAATCACCACCTGGGATTGTGGGTCATGCCACAATCCCTTCTCCTCCATTCTCCTTGCAGAATTTTGGGCACACACACACAGGTGCCCTGGGTGAGTTTTAAGCTGCCAGGCCTGGGAATCAAACCACAGTCGACTACGTGGGAGTCCAGTGACGTAATCATTATGCATTTGCTGGTCCCAATATTGTATATGAAAATATATGTAAGAATAATTAGAGGCCTACAATTATAATGCTTTCCTTTAAAGAGGATTTGTGTTTAATTTTGCCAGGCATGTAGTGGCACCACAGAGACATCTTTAAACCCAGATCATGGGGGCCAGACAGTGGCACAGTAGTAAAATGCAGCACTCTGCAGGTCCATAGACCTCACTAAGTATGCCAGGCATGCATGTGCCCAAGGTCAGGGACTGGCTGAAAGCTGGAGGTGGATCATGGTGTAAAGACCCTGTTGGGGATGCGCTCTCTCAGAAGAAATACATGAACTTTGGGAAGAAAAACAAAACAAAACCAAGATCATGTCTTGATACAGGCAATTTGATTTTAACTTGAAAATTTCTTTCAAGTTGTTCTGCCTCAAATTCCTGCTCACTCTGAGGATGTAGCCATTTGGGGTCTGTTTTTTGTAAGGACTGTCTTCTATTTCACTTGCTACTCACTGTGTGTGTATGTTATTTATGTATATGTAATTTTTTCCCCTCTTTGTAGAATGAAAAGACTGTCATTTTCCAAGTAGGTAAATGCCCTTAGGGCAAAAACAGTTTCGGTAAGTATTACCTCCCTGAAGTCAAGCTTTCCAGATTCTGGTCTGGTAGTTTTCTGCTATCTTGCCATCTTATAGACTGAGATGGACTTGATTGTGTGCACCTCCGAAATTCACATGTCGACACTCTAGTGCCCTCTACCTCATGATGTGACTGCACTTGGAGATAGGGTCTTTAAAAAAGTTATGAAGATAAAATGAGGTGTCAGGGTATGCTCTAATTCAACCTGAGGGATGTGCTTATAAGAGGAAATTTGGACACACAGACACCAGCAGTGAGGCCGTGCACAACGTGTGAGGGCACAGAAGGCAGCCACCTTTGGAAAACCCAAATATGCCCATACTTTATCTCGGCTTTCCAGCCTCCAGAACGGTTTTGTCACCCAGACTGTGGTATTTCTTTTATGGCAGCCTTAGGAAAACTAATGCAGGCCTTTAAGAACATTAAGCGTATATATTTCAGACTTTTATTGTCGTTTCCTGAGGTAGGTTGATGCACGTATCCCAGCCCACCATTACCAGAAGGAGGAGCTCTAGTCCCCGTCAGCTCACCCTGCTTCCTTTTCCTTCTTAGCCCTTAACATCGCCCGGGGTATTATCTATTTACCTTTCCATTTATTACTGTCAGATTTCTCCAGAACTAAGTTCCAAGAAAGCAGGCGCTGCTGTTTGTTCACTGCTGTACTCCCAGGGGCTGCAGGAATGTTCGGAGGGTTGGACTCTCAGAACATGGATGAATGAATAGCAGGGAAGGGGCTTCCCCACCACCAGAGCTGGGCGCCCCCGCGGCTGCCCCAGATCTCTGTCGGCAAATGCCGGACAGTCCCGCAGTCCCCAAGTCCGCTGGGGTAAGAGGGGTCGGGGCAGTGCTCCGGGGCGCGCCCCCGGGCGCGCAGCTTCCCGGAA